TAATGGCTATGGAATTTGGGGGGACTGGGGAGATGATGAGGATATCTTAAAATTAGATTTTGGTGATGTTTGCACAACTGTTAATACTAAAAGTCAGGAATTGTTCCCTTTAAAAAGGTGAATTTTATGGCATGTGAATTCTATCTCAATAAAGCTATTAAAAAAGAATAACTATTCCTTCGCTATCTAGTAATTGTACTTTTAGCAATCTGTCCTAAGGAAATGCATTCATTCGTCCCTCCAATATTTATTGAGTGTCACTGTCCTAGTGGGTGTTGTTTTAGGTGCTAGCTATACAACAATGAACAAATTAAGGAGCTACGGAAGCCTCCCCACCCCCACACCTTATCATGTTTTCAGTTATGTGAGGTCAGCCACGGTGAGAAGCAGATAATCCACCTCTGACCTATAGCCAGAATGACAGTAGTAGCCTGATTCAATGTCACATGCCTGCATCACTCACCTTATTTCATTCATCTCATCACGTAGGCATTTTAGCATATCACAAGAAAAAGGGTGAGTGCAGTATAAGAAGATATTTTGAGAGAGACTACATTCCCATAAATCTTGTACAGTATATTGTTACAATGGGTCTATTTTATTATTGGTTACTGTTGTTAATCTCTTACTGTGCCTAAATTGTAAGTTAAACTTTATCATCATGTACAGGAGAAAACATACTATCCATCCATTCGGTGCATTCATGGTTTCAGGCACGACTAGGCAGGAGCCCACTGGGATCTTGGAACAGATCCCTCGCAGATAAGGGTGGAGGAGTGTAATCAGATACAATGATTTGAGGACTTTTTCAAAAGGATGTTCGTAATAACATTAACTTCAACAATAATGAAAAGCTGGGAACAAATGATCCACTGGCAGACAAATTACAGCATATGGTAGAATGTTATGTAACCATTTAAAATTAAGTTTTCACAGAACAGTCATTGATGTGAGAAAATGATACAATATAATGTGAAATAAGGAAAATGCCACATGAAATATCCTACCACCACTATGAAATCAATATTATTTCTGTAGGTAATGATGTTGGATTTTGATTTTAGAGCCCACTTTTCTATCCATTATTGTTTCTTTTTTTATGTTTTCCTAAATCTCCTATAATGAAATATTGTGCCATTATAATCCTAAAATCCACATTTCTGTGAACAACCAAGCAAAAGCACTGAACCGTTACAAGTGTTGCCTTCTAAATGCTTGTTATAGGTTTGTTTCCTTTGAAGTTAAGAAAACAAAGCTATGAGGGAAATCTGGTTTGCTGCTGAATGAAAGTGGGATTTTTCATATGCCGATATGAATATGGAATTGTCCAATCTCAAAGAGGAGAGAGAGTATCAACTCGTTATTAGAGGCTGTCAGTTTTTCTTTGTGGCATATTTTCTGTGTTCAAGTTGGTGGAGTTTTGCTTCTTTCATATCCACCTGTCAACAATTCTTATACACCGAGAGCTGTCGTTAGCGAGTGCTCATTATGTGCTAGGCATTTTAAAACAGTACCACATCCGGTCCTTCCGCCAGGCCTCACGGCAACTCTGAGGAAGGTGTAAACATCCCTCTTTTGCACATGAACCAGTTCCAGCACATGAAGGTCACACAGCTGGTTTATGTCAGAATCTGCAAGCTAGCACAGGTGCTACTGACCCCAGTTGTGGGTTTTTTTTTTTTTTAATGTTTATTTGTTTTTGAGAGAGAGACAGAGCATGAGCGAGAGGGAGAGACCCAGAATCCAAAGCAGGCTCCAGGCTCTGAGCTGTCAGGACAGAGCCCGACGTGGGGCTCGAACCTGCCGACTGCGAAATCACAACCTGAGTGCAAGTCAGATGCTTAACTCACTGAGCCACCCAGGCGCCCCGACCCCAGTCGTGTTCTTGACTGCTGCACTGTGCCACCTTCTAGAGACCCCCCCGAAGTGGAAAGTCGAAGGCCTTGCTCCAGGAGGGCTTTTCAGCCTGATGGAATCAGGTGCACACACAGAGAAAAGGAAGCAATAGGATAGTCTGGAGTGTGGAAAATTCGGAAATAACAGAACACCAGAAGATTCTGTACATAGTAACTGTAAGAGAATTTAGAAGGAAATTGCGGACTGCATTTGCCCATTTCCAGAATATGTTTATGCCATTGTCTGCTTCCTCTACTTCATATTATCTGTTTGTTTCCTCTTTAACTAATGTTACAAGGTTTAAAATGCAGTATATCATGGGGCGCCTGGGTGGCTCAGTCGGTTAAGCGTCCGACTTCAGCTCAGGTCACGATCTCACGGTCCGTGAGTTCGAGCCCCGCGTCGGGCTCTGGGCTGACGGCTTGGAGCCTGGAGCCTGCTTCTGATTCTGTGTCTCCCTCTCTCTCTGCCCCTCCCCTGTTTATGCTCTGTCTCAAAAATAAATAAACGTCAAAAAAATTAAAAAAATAAATAAAATGCAGTATATTAAAAGGTAAATAAGCAGTATGTGTATGATTTTGGATTTTAGATGGAATTGCTTGAAGCTAGGTGTGCTTTCTGCTTTATTTGTAACTTGAAATGTATCCAGCCGGCTAGTTGCCCACGTGCCAGCATGCGGTAGGCTTCTGATAAAGTCTTTAACCACCTAATCTTTGCTTGTTGCAGGCGACATGGCTGTATGGCATACAAATGACAGGCTTGCTCTTGGTGTGCATTCTTCAGTTTTTTAATTCTATGATTCTTGGATCATTGCTGATCAGTTTTAATCTTTCAGTATTAATTGCAAGAAAACTTCAGGTAGGACATTATTTTTGTCCTTTAAGCAAACTCTTTTTTAAATTGTGTGGTTGCTTGGGCCTTATTTTTATACAGCACACAAAGGAAAATTTATGACCAGATTCCCACTGAAAAGCACCGGACCCATTATTTAGGGGTTTTTTGTTTTGTTTTGGGTTTTGGTTTTGTTTGTTTGTTTGTTTGTTTGTTTGTTTTTATGTGCACGGTGTAGCATCTCTGTTTTCAAGCTTTCTGATGCGCCACCCCTTGTTTTGACATTTACTTTTGTCTTAGAGAATTGGAATCTCAGTTCAGGGATTAGCCAGAGATGCTTATTTGAATGCATGCCATTGATTTAAACCTGAAACGAAGAAGAAAAACTTTTTTACTTCTGGTGTGTGTGAATTCAAGAGTAAGAAGAACCTGTTGCTTGGGGACATGTGTTCATCCCAGTGTCTTTCGAGTTGCTGGATACCTTCTTATTGGCGACACAGTAGCACTGCTCCCTACCGCAGCGTTCCGTATCGTGGTATTGATTTTTAAGTGAATTTAGATTAACTCTGAGAATTTTGAGAATCCAGATACATACATTCAGAAATAAGGGGACATTCCTAGAGTGTCACATTTGAAAACACTGACCTGATATTTTGGTTTTATTAAAGAATTCAAATCTCTTAAAGTTACATGAGATTTAATTTGTTTTTCTTCACATAATGTCACAAGGCCTGTTTGCTTTTTCATAAGCATATGAGAAACATTTCTCATAAGTACTATTATATCAAGAAGCTGTTTTACCTTCTGCTTTAGGAAGAAAATATCCTGTCATGGACAAGCTGTCACAAAGATTTTTTTTTAAAAAAGGCCTCAGTTGATGATCTAAAACAATAGTTCTCATTCATCCTTCTAACTTTAGTTATAAATAAACATCATGCCTATTTAATTCTTCAAAATTATTAGATATTATTTGATGATCTGTAAAGTTAATCTGACAGTTATAAGAAGACTATTATAAAGAGCACAATTCATCTTTTATTATACTGGTAGGTCTTTAATTTGCTGTGTCATCTGTGATACATGAATTAATGGTTAAATGACCACAAGATTTGTTCAGTCAGTGTATCCTGAGTACCTCCTGGCAGACTCCATACTCTAGTTGCAAAGGTCTAAAAAAAACGACTAGGACAGTTTTCTGACATTATGAAGCTTATTAAGGGATTCATTTACATTTATATTAGACGTTTACACACATTAAGACAGTATATAACCTCGTGAAAAGTAGGTGATATTTTCCACATATTTTCCCAGTATGTTGCATGATCTCATGTTTTAAATCCTTAAGTAATCTCATCTTAAATGTCTCTGAAGTAATTTAAGAATTAAGACTCAGCTGTTTTCATTTCTAGAAAAATCTGAAAACTGGAAGCTTCCTTAATAGGCTGGGGAAACTATTATTACATTTATTTGCAGTTTTATGCTTGACACTTTTTCTCAACAACATTATTAAGGTAGGTTAATAAAATGACATTTAATTTATGAATTAAAGTTACCTAAAGAATGACCAGTTCTCCTTTTAACAAGCTCAGTTTTCACTTTGTTTCTGAAACAGTTATTCTCTATCTCAGTCACTGATTTCTGCTCATTTTTTAAATATGTTCTAACCTGAACTCCCTTTTTGAGTTACTACACTTTTTAAAAGCTCAACTTTAAAGGCATTAAACAAGTGTCTCTCTAATTTTAAAAAATTCTACTTTTTAGAGAGCATTTTCTTGCACTGTGGTACAAAGAAAAAGATGACATGGTTTTCACTGGGTTAAGTTGATAGATGAACAACAGGCAGGGCGCCTGGCTGTCTCAGCTGGTGAAGCGTGCAACTCTTGGTCTCGGGGTCATCAGTTCGAGCCCCACGGTAGGTATAGAAGATTACTTAAAACAAAAGAAAAGAAGAGAGAGAAACTAGCTTTACTGTTGGAACTGCAGTGATTTATTGAAACGATTTTGCCCCTCCTGGCAGGCTGGTTTCATGGCAGGAGACATCCGCATGTACGTTGGCAGTCCCTCTTCCTGTCTGTTGACTCTCAGAGACTCTCACTCATCCGGCCACATTAAACAGTTCCACTCCAGGTCCTTGTCGCTAGTTCTTAAACCCCACACAGTTCAGTACTTATCAGAAGCTTACTTGAGCTGAGCAATCAGCGTTTCCGAAAGATTGGCTGAAAGATACGCGGTTCACCCATTCCCCCACTCTAGACATTTAATCATCCGTGCCTGAGTGAAGTCAGTAGAGCGCTGCATGCCTGGACCATTGATTCTTGACTTCCCAAAGAATACCGTCTATTGAGTCATACTTGATGTCTTGCCAGCTACATACAATGAGAGGAATTAGAAAAAATTCGTCTTTGAGACTCCTGCTGTTTTTTCCGTACCCATGGGGAAAATTTCTCTTGAGTCTCAGTCTTAGGAGTGTTAGGATCTGTTTTGAGCAACTAGTTTGTTTTAATCTTATGACCTGTGCTTTTATCTCCCTCTGCATTTGCTAGTAGAATGTGTAAGCCCAGATTTGCAGCTCATCTCTAGCAAACGTATTTTATGTACTAACCTCACTTCTGGATTCATCTTACTTTCTTTTCTATCTTCATTTTCCTTTTGATAGAATTTCTTGACCGATTTATGTTATATGGATTTTTGTAAAGCGTTATGTTAAAAATAAAATGATGTGAATTAAAATCCTAATCACTAATGATATGCGCTGGCATTTGTTCACTCTGGGGGCCACCACTGAGCCTTCAGTTGTCATTGTGTGAATGAGTCTTCTATCAATTGTGTCTCCAGACAGAGACCCCAAAGGCAGAGAGGCCCTGTGGGCTCTATACCTGTTTGAGGTCTCAGATCATCAAATTATTGGTTTTCTGATAAAAAAAAAAAAATTGTACTCATCTGGCTTCAGCCATCTCCTTCCTGAGACCAAAGAAGCTCATCTTTTATCTATTTTACGTGTTGAACTTCTTTATAAGGTTGAAAAAAGTGATTCTGCTTATAAAAAGGGGGGGCGGGATAAAGGAGTGTAAAAGTCACTGTGTTAGAATTCCTCATTTCTGACAACTATTGAGAACATTTGCTATAAACACACACACGCAGTCCTGTGAAACTGGACACCAGATGTATGTATTCATTGGGAAATTACCAGGAAATCATGCATAAGGCGCTAATAGTAATTTTCATTTTCTCCCTCCCTGATAGAAAATTCTTAATCTGAAGTCAGACGAACACATATTTAAATTTCTGAAGGCAAAATTTGGGTTTGGAGCAACAAGGTATGGCTGAATTTAAAATTTATGTTTGCTTTTTTATATTAAATCAGCAGGGACTTTCAAACTTCATAGTGCCTTGAACTATTAATTCCAGGCTCATTTTGAGGAAAAATGTGTGGTTTACTTATCTTGTTTTGAATTTAATATTTTGCCTTTTCATTTGTTCCCTAGAGATTTTGATGCAAATCTGTATCTGTGTGAAGAAGCATTTGGCCTCTTACCTTTTAATACATTTGGAAGGCTCTCAGATACTCTACTTTTTTACGCTTACATATTTGTTCTGTCCATCACAGTGATGGCAGCGTTAGCAGTCGCCTTCCATAATCTCAGGTATGGCGTGTTTCGGAAGCCTATGCTGTGCTTTAACGAACTTGCTCTCTGTTGCCAAAAAAGTGCTCAGTTGAAAATCAATCTATCAGACACAGATGCGGTATTGTGCAGCTGAAAGGGGCACGTAGCCAGTTTAGATTGGACTCCACTTAGTCATTAACGATGGACCAGCTAAGAGATAGCAAAAAGCAGGCAACGCCGAACAGGCTGTCCCCTTTGAGCCCTTCCCGTATGCCCCTTTCTATAGACACAGGATACTCAGAGGACTTACTCTACAGGGTTTGTGGGAAGTTAAAATGACATACAGTGCTTAGAATGGTGCCTCACGCCTGGAACATTCTGTACATTTTATATGTCATTAGCTCGTTTTACTATTAGTGACTCATAGTCTCTCTTTGGTTCTCATTGTTAGTTTTCCTGTTGTTTTTCTGCCTTTCTTTGTCTAGCTGCCTTTTTTATTTCTCATGAAGTATCAAGAGTTAACTGTTGTTTTGTTGCATGTTGTTAAAGGGCTTGTAAAGTTGGAGTCCACCAAAGTCTTCAGCAATAATTGGCTGTTTCTAAAAACTTAACATGTCTACTAATCTGCTAAAAGAAAGAGCCAGGGAGTATAAAGACTTTTTAAAAACGTGTGGAATACCTACCTACAAGGCTGATGGAGGGCTTCTGCATTTACTGTCCGTGTTAAATTGAAAGAAAATTAAGTGTAAGAAATTGAAGCTGCTGTCATTTGTGAAAACTTAATGAAGCTCAGAAGGAAGCCCTTTTTCTCCATAGTTATCTTGCCAATTAAGGTGCTGGTGGGCTGTGATTCGCAGCCACCGGAGAGCTGTGCTGGAGAAGGGCATTAAAATGAGTCCAGATCAGTTGAGATGTTTTATGATTATTAAGAGAGTGAAGCAACATTGAACCATGAAAATACTTCATTGACTATAAACTATTTTAGTATCTTTCAGAAGTGTTCTTAGCCTGATCTCTAGCCCAAGATAAAATCCAGCCCTGTGAAAATAGATGGAAATTATTCTAGACAGTGTAATTTAATATTATTCCAGACACGCCAAGTGTCGGCAGGACTCTAGACTGCATGCAAAGCAGGAAGTTGAGTTGGCCTGCAGTATTTTGTGAAAATGTCTGCCATGCTCAGTGTGAATCTAGGAGCCGTCTCTGCAGGCTGACTTGGTGTATGATTGTGGGTGAGGTTTTAGAACATCCTCATCTACCACATAGGGGTATTAGAACCTTATTAGAGGAAAAGTACTACATTAATTAAAGTAATTTAAGAATAATGGTATCTTAAGATGAACTTCTAAGTAATTTGAAGGCTATTTTATCAATGCCAAGTATTTAAAATATTTCCACCATCTCGGGGCACCTGGGTGGCGCAGTCGGTTAAGCGTCCGACTTCAGCCAGGTCACGATCTCGCGGTCCGGGAGTTCGAGCCCCGCGTCAGGCTCTGGGCTGATGGCTCAGAGCCTGGAGCCTGTTTCCGATTCTGTGTCTCCCTCTCTCTCTGCCCCTCCCCCGTTCATGCTCTGTCTCTCTCTGTCCCAAAAATAAATAAACGTTGAAAAAAAAAATTTTTTTTTAAATATTTCCACCATCTTAATACTAGGAAGGATGATACTGTTCTGTTCACGCAACACATCTGTGTTGGTGTAAAGGCTACGACTGAAAAGGAATTAACTCATGGGCTCTATATTCATGGGATTAATATGAGCTTTCCAGCTTGGCCAGGGAGATGGGGAGAGGTGTTGCAGAATTCTCTCAGGTATCAGGGGAAAATGAGAACATATGTTCTTGTCTGGAGCAACCTTTTAGTAGCAACATAGAAGCCAGGGTTTGGGTTGTAATATATGACACCTAAGTAAAGATTACTACCAGTGGTGAAAATTACCTTAGAATACCAGTTTAATTTTCATATGTATCTAGGGTGGTTGAAAGGATTTCTAGGGAAGAATAGTTTTCTAGTTACATGGAAGCCTCCTACGTATCCAGGTGTGTTGGATTTTATGAAGGCTAAGTGGGGCCTTTACAAGGCATTGCTTTTATCTGAAACTGATGGCACTTCCTGTTGTTTCCTTATGCCCTTGACAACACACTGGACGACATCCGAACCCACTCGTCCATCTCAGCATCTCTAAAGTGGGGACCACCAGAGATGACAGTATGTGCCTCCCCGGTATGACCCAGTTTAGAGTACAGGAGGTCCCCCATGGAGTATTCTTGCCAAAATAAATGAACCTGACTCTAATAATTAACCTCTAGATCTAATTATAAGTTTATAAGCAGGGTGGGCATAGAGAAACGTATTAAACACCACCACAAGGAGAAAATCAGCCAAATCCAGAAGGTGGAAGTAGTTACAGGACAAATGACATTTCTTTCAGCCAATAAACAGCTTCAAAGCAGAGGATACTTGTTTTGACTGAGAGATAACTTAAAGAGACGTTGATGAAATGCAGTGTGAAAGCTTAGGGTCCTAATTCAAAGAAACCACCTGAAAAAAGCAATGGCGGCACATGAGAAACAGAATACAAAGTGGGTGTTACGTGATAAGGAATTATTGTTAATATTATGGGTATAATTACTTTAACATAGCCATATTTGATTTAAAAAAATCACATCAGACATCTGTAATGAGGCATTGATAGGTTAAAATGTGATCATTTGTTCATAAAGGAACTGAATTCCAAGTTTATGGACACATTTTTACTTTTTCTTATTTATGAAAACTTAACAAAATACTAGCAACTCATGAAATATCTTTAAAGATATCTTTATCTTTTTGACTCCAGAAGACTATTATTTCTATTTCCTTATAAAGGGTTGAAGTACTCTAAATTTTTACTTACAATGAAATCTGTTAAATTTTAGTTAGTGATGCATTTTAGCACTTTTAGCTTCACAAATTCAAAATTGATTAATGCTGACTCATTTTGTCTTCGAGCAATAATACATTTCTAAATATATGAAGGGATGAGTTTCTAAATACATTTGTATATATATGAAGGCGTAAATCTTTTAAAAAGATTCACCTAACTTACAGTTATGTATCCAGTTTCAATTTTGTATGTGTGCTGTTTTATTCAGTGATTCTGCAAATCAACAATCCATGGGTCAAATGGGAAAGTGCACGATCATCCTGAAACCAGAAACTGCCTACAACTTAATACATACCATTCTGTTTGGATTCTTAGCATTGAGTACGATGAGGTATTTTGTCTTATCTGTTTGCTTGATTAATGTTTTTATCTGACCATTCTTTACCTGACATATTTTAGCAATGTAACTTGGAAACTGACAGGCATCTTCATTGATAATTATGGTTGCCATAAAATTTTTCTTGTTTGCTACCTTTTCCAGTACAAAATATTATTAATAACCACTTTTTTCCTAATTACCCAGATTTGTCTATTTTTACCTATATGATGGTTCTCAAAAGGCAGTGAAAGTCGTAACTGATCCTTTGGCAGACGGTTCCTGCACAGCCTCAGTTAGATTTTCCTGTCCCAGACGGTACAACTGTCTCACACCGCGGGTCTCTCCACGGCTGGCTGGCACTTGCTGACCTTTGCCTGTTTCTTTTCCTACAGAATGAAGTACCTCTGGACGTCACACATGTGTGTGTTTGCATCGTTTGGCTTATGCAGCCCTGAAATATGGGAGTTACTCCTGAAGTTGATCCATCTTTATAACCCAAAGAGGGTCAGTGCTGTTATCCCTTTTAGTTTGATGACTTTCAGGATTTCTTTCCTACCAATGATTGTTGTTTTCGGTAGTTGCCCCTACATCGGTCCAATGAAACAGATACTAAAATTTGAGGCAGAAAATAGATCACTGGCACCTTATGGTTTTCTCCCGTCTAAGTACTAACCAGGCCCAACCCTGCTTAGCTGCCAAGATCAGACGAGATCGGGCGCATTCAGGCTGGCGTGGCCGTAGACCTTAGGATTTTCTGAGGAGTTATTTCTAAAATAATTTTATTCTTAATTTTATTTTTTAAATTATTTATTTTTTCCCAAACCATTGGCTAGATTTGCTTATTATACTGAATTTGGAAATACTGTAAAGCACACAAGGAAAAATTACAAATCCTCAAGAACTCCATTATCCAGTTATCACTATTATTATAATAAATTATCCTTAAAACAAATATTAATAACGGGGGATAGGAAAACAAAAATATGAATAAGCATATGGTTATGGTTAATAGCCTATAACTGCAGTTTTGAATTGTTCTCCCGTGTGAACTCACAAGGTGGCAATAGAGTAGAAGCTACAAGTATCTCATGAGTGATTGGGACCCTTACGTTGACCCAGTTGTCTGGCATATTGGAGACTCATGCTCCGTGAAATCACATTTTTGTTGCTTTAAAAAGAATGGGTCCTATGTTTACAAAACAAAACTGTAAGGCCAAAGTGTTCAAAATACCTGTGATCTAAATAATGTCTTTCTTATATAGATATGTATAATGCGATATTCAGTACCGATATTAATACTGCTGTATCTGTGCTATAAGGTAAGACTGATTTTCCTCATTGTTGCCATTGATCAGTTTAGCAGAATAATTGCTTTGACTCTGTACTCTGTATGTTACTGGCAAATAGAATGGTTTGTGGAGGTTACAGACCTCTCCTTGGCTTCTTATGAAGCCACCTGGCATTGATAGGAAAACCCATCTATTTCCCAAATAGTATTTAACAAGTAAAAACATTGTAGCAAAAACGACTACAGGTTAATTTTTCTGATTAACTTTGGTTTTGACTTACTATTCCGCTGATGCAAATTCCGAAAGATGTTTTCAGACCTATGTTGAGGTAAATTAAGAAGAAAAATAATTCCCTGTTACCTGCTTTAGAGAGAGTAAGAGATCCTAAAATGCATCTTACTTTAACCTACATATTTTATTAGATGCTTAAAATCACTTTGTAAGAGGCTGGGCATATGTAAGTAAGTACAGTCCCAGGCTAGCCTTGTTATCTGTCCTTCAGTTTCAATAGGAAATAAGGAAATTCCTCATATTCTCAGTTGACTCCTGAAATAGCTTTAACTGTGCTTCAGTTCTGAGAATCCTTCGTAAGAAACAGGGAGTCGCCAGTCAGACGGACGATTTGGTGACTCTTGACACATCTTTGAGATTTAGAGGCTTGAATCAGTACCCGGGCAGGGAGCCCAGACTACGCCATCCAACTGAGCTTTTACCCTCTCTTTTTAAACAATCTTACACATATTCTTAAGTTTAGAATTTTTCCTTCAAATTTGGTTTTATGTCAGAACAAAGAGTAGATCTCATCCTCTACTGTGTATCGCCCCTCATTTGGGAGGGAGTCTCAAGGGAGGAGGGGGCTCAGCCACGGGGAGGATTAGCGATTGCAGCTCAGCTTTGGGTTTGGCTTATCCTTTCATGTAAGATTTTACTCAAAGCCAGAGGTTTTAGGCTAAAAATAATATGTGATAATCACACTCTTGGATAATTCTGCTGTAAATATTTTAAAAAATCATGCTCTATCATGTTCCTATCCATCAAGACATTTATTGTCATAGGCAGAGCACTGTGCTAACTCAGATATTAGAAAACCTAGAAATAGGTTATTTCTACCACCCTGCCCCTGGGAATTTTCTTGCTCTGATGTAAATAAATGAAACTTCTTTAAAACATCTGGAAAGCAAAAACGGAAGATTAAGTAGAATTTACGTTTAATAAGGAATGAGGTAACTTCCCCTCTGCACGTTGGTTCTGGGTGATAAACCCCCTCCTCCCAGAGAAGACAGAGCTCACCACGTTTCTGGTCTCACGCTAAAGATGTATGCACACGGTAGCAGCCTTTTTTCCACAGCCTCTCTGTGTGTAGGCTGAGTTCTTCCATGTCTCAGCTGTGTATTTGGAATTGTGTTCATTTTTTACAGCTATTTGAGGACTTCAGTCTCTTGTTCTTGGCAAAACTGAGGAAGGGCATTCTAGAAGAAATAAACTACGCTATATGGCATTGGGTCTCAAAGTGTGGTCCCCAGACAAGCAACATCAGCATCACCTGGGAACTTGTTAGAAATACAGATGTTTGGGTCCCACTCCAGACCAGACCTACCGAATCAGAACCTCTGGAGTGGAGTCCAGAAATGTGTTTCCCCGGCCCTCCAGGTGGCACTTACGCACAGAACAGGGCTTCCCTGCACTATTGACATTTTGGCTAGGTAATTCCTTGTCATAGGGGGCTGTCCTGTGTGTTGTAGGATGTTTAGCAACATCCCTAATTTCGACCCCCTAGATGCCAATAGCACTTCTCTCCTGTTGGGACAATCAAAAACCTCCAGACATTGCAAAACATCCCTCTGGGGGTGGGGCAAAATCCCTCTCCCCACCTCTCTTGAAAACCATTACTATAGAAAAACCAGTGAGAGCACCAAAAAAGCCATCATTTCCAGGAAGTCTGTGTTGATATTCTTTGAGTGAGAGAGTTAGTAACTCGGAATAATCCTTCCGAAGACTTGCCTAGAATCAGCGTAGCCCTTCTCAGTATCGGACTTCAGGAGAAATCTTCATGCGTCCAGCTTCCACGGTACAAAACCGTTGAGATATTCCAACCTCTCCACATTTAAAATCACAAAGAAAATAAAGGTGTTATGTATATTAAGAATTACCCCGAAACTGAATCTGTTTTCCAACTATTGAACAGATTTACTGATAAGTAAAATGAACTCCTCTACTTCAAAGCCTCATTTGAGTTTCACAGAACAATTGTAATGAGGATTTCAGATTTTCTTGTCCATAGTAGCAATTTTGCTATATGTCTCTTTAGGACAATCCTATTTAAAAGGGAAAAGCATGCACTTCACTCTAAAATCAGGAGTTATTATTACGCTCACATTGATTAATTTATTTGCATCGCTGCATTCTCACAGTATTGCTAGTCATTTAGAAACAGCATTTAGTTAATTCGACACTTTCACACTGTTTAAGAAGTCTGCCACAAGACAGTGTTACTAGATTTTAACATTTTCAGAATTAACAACAGCAACTTTCAAGCTAGAAAAATATCTACTATCCATTGAATTGATAGATTTTAAAATATGTTTTATACCCACATAATTTGGACCTATCATTAAAAAGTTGGTATTCTATTGATTATCCAAATTAATAGGGATAATTGAAATATTACAAAGGTATCATTGAATCACTATGATTACATCTCTTCTAAAACTTTGAGACAGTAGTGCTGTCTTGGTTTTCCATCACCAACAGTTTTCCAGATTCACCCACCCAGAACACTAGATGAGAATGAGCAGTAAAAATGGCCAAAGATGAGATGGTAAGAAAGTGACAGGGCTGAAAACACAGCCTCCAAGCAGTCAGGTTTCACTCGGGTTCTAGTTAGTGGTTCCTAAATAAAATTCCTGTATTTTCAAAATTAATGAAGCACGGGCACTTTGTCATTGGCCTTCTTCCAACATGGGAGTTCTGCTGTTCACCTCAGGACATATGTAGATTATCGAGGCTTCTTAGCCGATTATCGTTCGATACAGCAGTGAACATTTAATTAATTGTTGGATTAAATAGGGAATTGTGGTAGAAAAGCAGTAAGCTCAGAGTGTGATGTTCGCACTCTGCTTCCCCTTCACCACCTTGAGTTGAGTAGGAGGCACCAGTGGCATAAAATGTTCCTGATTTCCTGGAGAGTCCTACTTTCAAATATTCTTCTCTCCCATTGTACCTGTAATTATATTAAAATATGCCAGGCTATCCTGGATTTGGATTTGGAGTCAGGTTTCAGGCCATAGCTCTGCCAGTCCGTGGGCTGGTCAAGTCAGGCTACCTCTCCAGCCAGCGTCTCCACACCAACAAAATGAACCGTGAACAGCAGTAGGGATGGTGCCCTCTTGCGTCCACTTCCTCCCTGCGTAACTGTGGGGATGAGAGGAGATTCTGTCCCAGAGCGTTTCTGCAGCTCTAACGTCTTGTAAGGGCACATTCCGCATCGAAGGGTAGATTGCATGATGGAAGATCTATTTTTCTAACATACCGGGAACCTTCTCGTGGTTGCCATTTCCTGTCCTATCGAAATGAATGTTTCACTAGATACTAACACCACATACAACAGGTTTTTTATTAGAGTAAAATAAAAGCTCATTGTAAAAAGTTGCCAACCTCTCTAGCCCTGATTAGCTTTGGCTCAGAATAACTCGGGGAACCTTTTATGGACTTTGGCTGGCTTCTGCTAGGAGGGTCCACTGCCGCGGTGAAGTCGTTCAGATGCTGCGGTTGCGTGTTTATTTAGTTCACAGGCTATATGCCGTTTGTCCCCTTTCGTTTTAATCTTAGTGACAGTTGTGGGTGTGGGGGTGGATTTTGTTTTTGTTTTGTTTTGTTTTTAATTTCAGTTCTGGCCAGGAATGATGGATGAACTCTCCGAGTTGAGAGAATTCTATGATCCAGATACAGTGGAGCTGATGAACTGGATTAAGTAAGAGGATTTTTTTTTAACCTTTAAAATTTAAAGTGCCTTTTAAGTGTCACCATAGACCTCATTTGGTGTTTTCTTTTTTTCTGAAATCTAACTGAAGATACATTCATTTCCAAGTTTTTCTTTAAAGCTCTATATTTGGAAATAATTTCTCCCCATTCAAGAAATATTCTCTCTAACCACAAACTCTGGAAGAAGGGAAAATACCTGTAAGGAGAGGAAGTCAGAGCTGGAGGATGCTCCCCAGGCCACTGGCAGCAGTGGAAAGGAAGCTTCGTAGTCTAGGCCAATTTTACCTTTAGCGTGTCTTCCATTTTGGTACCATTCAGATTTTCTGTTACTGCTGACACATGAAAGTATTCTTTCCTTGTTAATCATTGAAAAGTTATACCGTAAACGACGGAGTCCTACTAGCTGCGTGCACATTTGATTTCAACGAAGCACACTGCCCGAGCCCAGGCCTAAAGAAAACTAAAAATCCAGACTCTTTCTGTCTTGAACATCGTCCCGTTTAGCATCCTCTCGGTGCCTACTGTTGCCTGCGTTCTGTTGCTTTGCCCCAGCACTCAGTGTCAGCGTGAAAGTCATGTGTTCGAAAGCTTTGTTAATGGAACCTGCCTCCCACCGGAAATAAACTTTGTTACCCAGAGCAGCATTCCTGTGCCCTGTAGTACTGCATTTCCCTACTTTGTAACCAAAAAGCAGCAGTGTGATTATTCACATGTAAATAGACGTCGCAAATCTTGTGTGACATATTCTGAAGGCATCGGCGGTATCGTCTCCATCACTTAGGGTTTTAGTAGCCATATTGGCACTTGCTCATGACTAATGTTTACTAACCAGTACAGTTTAGCACCGCTTGTGTATTAAGAGATGGTAAACGTTTGATAGCTTCGGTCTCTTGAGTGCAATACATGGATTTTATAGAGATTTATGTCTAAAATATATATGTGGCTTTGGTCCCAATGTCGGACTGGCTTTGACTAGATGCAGTGAGTATAATTTTTCATGTACTTCCAGTGCTGAGATTACTAAGCAGTGCTTTGTCTTTATTTATTTATTTAACTTTAAATCACGGCAGACGATTATAGAGTAAATAATTCCTTCCGTATTTATTGTGTATGGGAAAAGAGGGTTATTCGTGTAAAGAAAAGCTAATTACTTTTGCATTAACTATAGTCACCCGGAAATTTATGGCACGTACCTGTGAAGGTGAGGCTGGTGGTGTTCTGGTTTCAAAATTACCTGTGGTCGGGCTGAGGCGCCCCTGGTAGAGCCCTGAAGCTGGCGGGCCTGCCTTGGTCATTCCTGTGAGCAGCCCACCTCTGCTCCCCGGTCCCTGGGGAATGAATGGAGCCTCGGTAAGAACGTGTCCTGGCGGAGGCCAGGCGGTCCATGGCCGTGTCACGCTACTGCGCTTACTACAGTGCCTGTGTCTCGTCCTTGCGACGAATTATACAGTGACATTCCTGGTTCTGAGAGATGGCAGATGAGAGGTTATATTCCGAGTGCAAAGAAGACAGTCTGTTAGTCTGTTACTTCTCTCCTTTGCGAAAGCGATCTTTGTTCCTTACTTTATCATCCTCTTACTAACATGGTCCTCTCCCTGTATGGAAACACGTTCTTTCTACTTTTTAAAAAATCCTCAGCAACTGGAAAGCTTTGTATTGTTCCAAAATATTGGCCCCATTGTGATCTAATCTTGCTCGTTTTCCCTTAAAATTCTTCAAATCTTAATTATTGTTTTTGTAAAAATAGCTGCTGGGCATGTTTGTGAAATAAGCTTAAGTGATGATGAATATATGCCAAAATTGGGTCTAGTTAGACGCAAAATGTATTTGTTTAAATCAACATTGAAATCAGCTCTGGTCTGTAGCCTTCGGTTCCAAACACAAGGGAAAACACACTTCATATTCTTTGAACTCGCCTTGATTTCTTCTGTTTCTGAAACGTAACATATGACCTTCCGCTTCCATTTTACTACTCTGATGAGTCACCTGTGCCCGGGATACTAGCAGGTCTGAGCTGTGCTGGAAGCAGGCTGTGGCCGAAGGATGGCATGGACTGTACCTGGGAGTCGGTCTGAAGTTGTCTGAGGGCAGCCAGCAGAGCTCTGGCGGGGACTCGGCCCCCTTCTTCCCACGTCATCTGCTGCTGTTCTCGGACAGCCGGCACAGTGGCGCCATGTCTGTCTTTCGTCAGGGAGGTCATGGCAGCATGTACGGGGCGGGATGTAGCTTCCGTCACAGGACGGCTGCGGGACGAGTCGGGATGAGAAGCCGTGACCTACAGGAACCCTCGGGGACACCTCAAGTGACCCTCCGTGATGGCACAGGGCCCCTCCTCTGTGACGTGTTGAGAAGAAGCCTACCCAGCACGTCCCGGTCTCTGTTCTGTATACTTGATGCTGGGGCAAACCACACGCCTGCCTTACGCATCACCGTTGTGCTCTGGGACACTGGGCCTCTGTTTGGAGATCAGGGCTGGCCGAGTATTCACTTGGGCTTCTCGGGCTTGGAGGATGAATCGAAGGATTCCATCACCTCAGCAGGAGTTAGTTATTTCCTCCTCTTCTGGAGGGCTCGGTTATGACCCTTTATTGGCCAACCAGACAGCCTCTGGGGAAGATAAAGGGCATGGCTTTAGGACACCACATATTAATAGGAGAGGGGCCGTTCTGAAGGGATTCGGTTTCTGAGAGACTGTTTAACACCTTAATGCGTAACTTGTACTTACTGATAGGATTTAACAGATACTTATTGAGCACCAACGACACATAGGACATCACGTGGCCGCCCACTCTCACCACCTCTCCGCTAGAGTTGAGTCTCTTCTCAGCACTGCTGTCTTCATGCCTTTTTTCCATATTCTTACTGTTGACTCCAGTTTTAAGGTTTTTAGAGCCTTATCAGGTTTCAACTGAAAACTTTTTTAGTAATAGAAATGTCCTATCTTTAGTTCCTTCGAGATTTCAATGTAAGTAGAAAACTAATAGAACTTTGAGAGTCGATCCCTCGTTAATCAGCAAGGACATTGTGTTGAAATCAGCCCCAGAATCTTCCCTGGGAGAACCAGGAGGCTGCTTACCCCGATCCTTCCTCGGGGCCGGCCTGTGTGCTCCTCTGGCCACCTGCCCTCCACACGGCGCTCACTGCCGCATGCTCGCTTCCCAGCAGATTGAGGGTCTCCCAAATGCAGAGATTAAAAACACGATTGATTGATTGATTGATTGATTGATTTTAGTTTCTGGCAGCTCTTTCAGCAAGACCCAGGTGGTACTTGCTGTGCTGTGTGTGTGACTAGGAAGCACTTTTACTTCCACGAGGCCAAACGCCACGGCAGTGGTGCTTCAGACCTCGTTCCTTTGTGACCCGTAAGTGTTTCATTCTTGTTCCTGAAATTCTTCTTTGACGTTGTGCAATGAAGACACTCCCGCAGATTTGAATATTCTGAGATGTGACATTTTAACCACGGGGCTTTAGAAGATTTTTCACTAACGGTAGTCCCTTTTCAGTGATGAAGCCTGCATGTGCAATATATTCTCAATGGGACTGAGAAAATGGACCACACTTCCTTAGCATTTTATCAAAGCAGAAAGAATTACTGTGTATCTTAAGTATGATGAAGGTTAAGTTGAGACCTTAAATGCCTATAAGCCTCTTTTATATTTAATGAATCATTTTGTGGTATTTGCATAATTCTATAAATTTTTGAGGGGTAGATAAAGCAAATGTTCGCACATTATATTATAATGCTCAGTTTACCCATTAGTTCAACAGTAATTAACTTGTTGAAGCTTAGAGCTTCAAAAGTAAATGAGATTATTTGTTCAAAATGCCATCAGGTCTTCCTGGAATGACATTTAAATTATGTAATGTAAATCCGTTTGACCTGTGAGTCCTTGTCATTATTTAGTGACATTTCTTGCAGAATAAATTGTTTGCAGGTTGGGCAGCCCGCTATAGAGCTTGGCAGAGGGCTATAAAAACAAATTATCCTTTCATTTTATACATCATTTGTTCAAACATTGGTAAAAATTGCTTTGTCTTTCTATAATAGAGAAGTGTCATTCAATGGTTAAAAGCACATTAGCTGTTTTAGACACAGACCACAGACTGTGTCAGCAGAAGTATCTGTGAAGGCAGAATACCCAGCATTACACCTGTCATACTGCATATTTTAAGTTAAGGACAAAAAAATGCCTTTTCCCTTTGCCTGCTGAGTTCACCACAGAAAATATAAACCACAGCGAAGCTAGCTAGGTTTTTAAAGTTCAGAAAACGTGTGATTGTTTTTCCTTTTGTTTCACTTTGCTTGTTTGTTTCGCTTTGCATTGGCTTTATGGGTAAACTTGAATCTTTAAAATGTGAAATATCCCAGGTTTGCAATGGGGCTAGCTTATGAAACCAAGTCACTAGAAGAAAGCGAATAAACATCGTCTCTGCTATGCTCAGAAGTTCCTGGTTTTCAAGGAAGTATTACTTCTAGTTCATTTTATAGGCGTTGGGGTACTTGTATTTACTGCTTTAAAGTAAAACCAAGGGGGTACCTGGGTGGCTCAGTCGGTTGAGCGTCCGACTTTGGTTCAGGTCGTGATCTTGCAGTTTGTGAGTTCGAGCCCCGCGTCGGGGTCTGTGCTGACAGCTCAGAGCCTAGAGCTTGCTTCAGGTTCTGTCTCCCCTTCTCTTTGCCCCTCCCATGCTCATGCTCTGTCTCTCTCTGTTTCTCAATAATAAACAAATTTTTAAAGTTTTAAAAAAAATAAATAAAGTAAAACCAAGGAAAGACTGCTAACAGGCCACAGGATTGTTGTGCCAGTGGCTGAGACAGATTGCTTTATTTTTAAACTTTCTGACTCTTTGCTAATGAGGCCAAACATTAAAACACATCACAGAAGGGGCGCCTGGGTGGCTCGGTCAGTTAAGCGTCCGACTTCAGCTCAGGTCATGATCTCGTGGTTCGTGAGTTCGAGCCCTGCGTCGGGCTCTGTGCTGACAGCTCGGAGCCTGGAGCCTGTTTCCGATTCTGTGTCTCTCTCTCTCTCTCCAACCCTCCCCCGTTCATGCTCTGTCTCTCTCTGTCTCAAAAATAAACGTTTAAAAAAACACACACACACATCACAGAAGAATGTGGTTTAGTTCATTTTTCTCTCCGTGCCTCTGAGCAGTCCTGCGGCACGTGGCTGCACCGCTGTGGGGGCGGGGCGCTCCAGTGCTCCCTGAGCACCCAGTGGGGAGAGGCGGGATTTGCCAGGGTGAACCAAGTCTGATGTGTTTCGTTCCCAGGATTGCTCAAGGCCCACAGAAAGCACTAGTAAATATGTGCTAGACTAATGACTGGTTTATATGGAAGTGTCTGCCTATAGTGGGAGCTGAGTCTGGCTCTATTAGCTTATTAGCTAGAAGGCTTCTTGAAGCCAGGTTACCATCATACCACGTTTGCCAGCCCAGCACACAGTAGGCCCTCAGCAATAGATTTTGACTGAATAAAGAATAGCTTTGTAGCTTCCCAGCAAGCAGTTCAGGACTTTGGACATTTTAAACATTTGAGAACTATGTAATTCATCCAAGTAGTATGATTATAGTCTAGGAAGGGAGATGAAACCTGGGTCATTAGCCATGAATAGATAAGAGATCAGTCCTAGATCAGTCATCTGTGTCTGCCACAGTTATAAAATATATACTAGAAACAGCTCTGTGCATCTCCCTGACGCTGGCTCCTGTTCTAATTCGAAACGGGGATGTTAAGACAGTCTTGAGATCTGGATGGATGTTATCAGCTTAGCTGCCGGATTTGCCATCTGTGTACAAAGACCAGTTGGGCACTCTTTAGGCAGTAAGACTGTAAGCCAGGACAGCTCACCCACAGCCAACCCTCGCCTCTACCCTGTGCTCTGCCAGACGTGGAGACCAGACTTCGTATCTTCAGTTCAGAGGCCCCAGAGACAGCCACTTTTGGGCATTATTTAATATGGGATATAATTATATTATTTATTGCGGTGGAATGGTTTAAGCCAGTTAAGAGTATACAAAAGAAAAGAAGACTGGCTTGGGAAAATGATGACACTTTTCTTTAATTAATATTTGTCCATATTTATTCTTTACAATTCTTTTTTTTTTTTTAAGCTTTCCATTTTTTTCTTTTTCTTTTTTTTTTCTTGTTTTTTTTTTTAAGTTTATTTATTTATTTTGAGGGAGAGAAAGAGAGAGAGAGAGAATCCCAAGCAGGCTTTGTGCTGTCAGCACAGAGCCTGATGTGGGGCTTGAACTCCCAAACTGAGAGCGTGGCCTGAGCCGAAACCAGGAGTTGAACATTTAACCCACTGAGCCATCCAGATGCCCTTTTTCTTTTTAAATTTTCATTTAAATCCGTATCGGTATTGGTTTCAGTATTACTATTGGTTTCAGGAGTAGAATTCAGTGATTCATCACTCACAACACCCAGTGCTCACCACAAGTGCCCTCCTTGATGTCCATCACCCATCTAGCCCGTCCCCCAGCCACCTCCCTCGGTTTGTTCTCGAGCACCCCTCGGTTTGTTCCCCATTGTTAGGAGTCTCTTATGGTTTGTTTCCATTAGGGACTCTCTTGCAAGTCTGGCGCGCGGTGATGAGGGTGGCTCAGGGTAGGCGGCCCAGACTAAGTGCTTAGTAAGTGTCAGTTGAATTAAACTAAATATTTGTAGAATCTCCTGCTAAGGAATGCTACACCTTCACAAGTTGTCATTGAAACCCGCCTGTCCCACCCACCACATGGGACAGAAGTCAAGAGTTCCCTGTAAATTGCCAGCTCAAGGGGACAGGGCAAACATTCGTTTGTTCTTGCACTCTTGGGTCTGCTTGTTGGAACGATGACCACCCACCCAGCAGTCAGGCTCACTGAAAACCTGGTCTGTGCTAGTCCACACTCTAGCCTCTGGCGTCCATAAGGGAGGACGCAGGTCACATGTCGTTCCTGTTGCCCATCGTCCTTCTGTCCACGTCTTGTCACTTGAGAAAGCCCATTGAAATCCAAGTGAGAGGGTCATTGGTAGAAAATCTGAGTTCTTCAAGTAAGTTGTGAGCGTTACAACTTGAACTGTAGGATGTACCATAAGGCCTTTGTCAGATGGCGTTCACACTCTGGTCTTAGCATCGCACTGAAGGAAATAGAACATCCGCATGTGATGCGGGAATATGATGGTGGCTTCTCTTAGAAACTTAGCACCAGGGTAAGTTTCTGCCCTGATCTCCCAAAACGCAAGGAGAACAGCCTGCTCTTTCTCTAGAGTATTTCGAGTTTTAATATTCAGTGAGACTTCTTCTCGAAATTATCTGTGTCCTTTACCTCCCCCTGGCAAGCCCAGACTGCTCTTTTCTTAGCACAGGCAGGGCTCGCGGTGCCCCCAGTGGCCCCCGCAGGAAGCAGTGTGCTGAGCAGTCTGCACAAAGGCGCTCGGGGTCGTCCCGGGGAATTGACACCTCGTTGATTTGCAAGGCACTCCAAAAAATGGAAGGGAATTAAAGTCAACCACTAAGATTCTTTTCTTTCAGGGGGAAAAGGAAAAATGGGTTCACTGGAATCAGGGACTCTTTCCTTGATCCTCCGTCAGTGTCTGTCACACCCCACAGGGAGGCAGGGAATCGCAGCTTGGTGGCACTTAGCAGGGTCATGATTTAATGATACGAGAGTGCCCGTATTCCTCCAGATTCCTCAGACTTTCATAATCAGGGCCAAGGAGAGGAGTATGGGAAATGCTTGTGTTTCCACATCAGAAACAGTGTACGTCCCCATACTGAGTAATAAATTATTTGCCTTTTCAAAATCTTCTGTGTTCTTTTGTTTCTACTGATTCTGGTTTCTTTTTTTTTTTTTTTTTTCTGGAAAGCTATTTATCATAATATCTGTGATCTTTTTTCTTGTTTCAAATGAAAACCGTTGGAATTGACTCATGATTAGCTGCAGTTTCTGGCTTTATAATTTGTTTTACTCTAGGCAGCTCTTTAGTTAAGTTTAATACAGAACAGGATGACAGTCTTGTAAGTTCTTTTTTGTCAGAATCTGACCCTCTGGAGCAAGAGAGGGAGAGGATTATGGGATTTAGCCCAGAAGGCTTAGAGCCAGGAGATGCCCACATCCTAAGCCCATTCATTATAAGGGTAAACCCATCAAAACAGTAAATTAGAAGTTTCCCAACCATTGTCAAAAACAGACAGGAGAAGTTTCATGAAACGGTTTGAAGGCAAATGTCAAGCAGCCTCCTGTGTTTTTCCCAAAGTCTCAGCCCTTCCTGACGCAGCTGGGTGATTCTGGGAACATGATGTTGTTTTCTTGTTGTCTTTGAGGAAATCTTAGCGGTGGAGTTAATTCAGACTCTGAATCTTCTAGCTCCAACACCCCAAGAAAGGCCGTGTTTGCCGGGAGCATGCAGTTGCTGGCCGGAGTTAAGCTGTGCACAGGAAGGACCTTAACCAACCACCCGCACTACGAAGACAACAGCCTGAGAGAGCGGACCAAAGCGGTGAGGGCTCGTGGCTTCTGGTGGGCCAACAGTGGCTTGCTGTCGTGTGTATGTTGTCAGGGGCAGTCGGACCTGAAGGCCACAGGCCTTTGTCTCCTGAGTCTGCCCTGCCCCCCACATCCATTAAAGGCAACATATATATTCCTCTGGATTAAAATAACAAGAGAAACGGCTTGAGATGTACAGAAAAGAGCATTTAAGAACAAAACCCTCAGAGCTTTTGAATTAGGGAAAGAAAAGGAGTAGAGACACGCTAGTAACTTATTTTATGGACCAGTGTGTGTGTGTGTGTATTAGTTGGTAATATAGCTACATAGTTCAAATTTCAAAATAAAGGGGAACTTAGTGAAAAGTCTACATCTCACCCTCTCCCAGCTACTGTGTCCCCTCACAGGAGACAAATGCTTCGTTGTGTATCTTTCCACGGGCATTTTGTGCATATACAAATGTACACACACTGTGTTCACATTCTTTCCCCTCTTTTACAAAAGAACATACTAAATCTTGGTTTCTTTGGCATTTCATATACTTCGCAGCTCGTTCCATATCAGTTATTTTTTTTAACTAGTCACTTCCTTTTTTTTTAATTTTATATTTTAGAGAGCGAGCGTGAGTGGGAGAGAGGGGCAGAGGGAGAGACAGAATCTTAAGTGCAGAACCCAGCACAGAGCTTGATCTCACGACCACGAGATCATAACCTGAGCCGAAATTGAGAGTTGGATGCTCAACTGACTGAGCCACCAGGCGCCCCCCCCCCATATCTGTTATTGACAGCATTGTATTTTTGAATCTACAAAAATTTTGTTATGCAGACATAGCATATTTTATTTAACCATTTAGGTTGTTTCCCTGTCTTTTGTAATGATGTAAACAATGTTCCAAATGGTAAACTTGTATGCGTATCACTGTGCACAAATACAAGTATTTGTCTGTACATCAGATTCTTAGAGATGAGGGGCGCCTGGGTGGCGCAGTCGGTTAAGCGTCCGACTTCAGCCAGGTCACGATCTCGCGGTCCGTGAGTTCGAGCCCCGCGTCGGGCTCTGGGCTGATGGCTCAGAGCCTGGAGCCTGTTTCCGATTCTGTGTCTCCCTCTCTCTCTGCCCCTTCCCCGTTCATGCTCTGTCTCTCTCTGTCCCAAAAATAAATAAACGTTGAAAAAAAAAAATTAAAAAAAAGATTCTTAGAGATGAACTTGTGGGACAGAAAGTACGGGCATTTGTAATTGAGCTAGACAGATAGTCCTAAGTTGCCCTCTGTACAGATTATACCACATACATTCCAGTCAGCAGTGCAGAGAGGTACCCCTTTCCCCCAGTCCTCTCCAGCAGTGGGCTCAAACTTTTTAATGTTTTATGTCAGTCACTTCATAATCTTAGCGGCTGAAAAGTTGCTGAAAAGTCTTGTTTTGGCAGGAGATTTAACTAGCCTAAAAGCAAATGATTTTTTACTAAGTCCCCTGTTTTTTATGAGAATCCTCTGAACCTAGATTCCTACTAAAATGGGGATTTTTCAGTTGGTGCAAGTACCTGAGATCGCCCCAGGTTAGCTGGACGAAGCAGGGAGGGCACCGGCTCCACAGAACCCGAGTCCAGGCGGGAGGTGGCTGGTGCGGCTCAGACTTGGCAGAAGGTGCAGAAGGGACACGTCAGGCACACGGGGGCTCCTCCTCGCACCACCCTGTCCGATATCCAGCCCTTGTCTAGGGACTGAGTTTTGTGCCCTAACCAAACACATCCTTAAGGTCCTGGTGCCCTTCTTCAGTCATGACCTTCAAATCCTGGGAATGGCTTTGGTGTGAGGCTGCTGCTAAACTACAGCGAGGATGGCCTCTGGCTTCAAGTCACAGAAGGAGACCACCTCCTGGCATTTCACCTATCAGTACAGGCACGCCGGCCCTCAGGGCCCAGTCTCTTTGGTCAGAAAGGCATCATGAGACATCAGTGTGCAGGGAAGGAGTCGGCACCCCTGTCCATCCCCCCGCCCACATGCACACACACGCACACACACACACACACACACACTCTGCAGTCACTTAAGGTATGTGACGCTGGTGATGAACAGGGAGGAGGCGCCTCCCACTGAACTGCCACTGGTGCTGCAGGTTGTTCGTGCTCCAGGAAGCGTGAGAGCGAAGCACGGGGTCTCCTGGTCAAGCCAGGGGCAGCCTAGCACCAAGGACCCTATGGCGGTGCTTTTCTCCATTGTCAGAAGCTGAGGATCCTTACAAGTAGAGGTGCCCCCAAGCTGTACTGTCATGCCTGATGGACCTTTTCGTGCAAAGAACCCCTTTTTAAACGTAGAGATTGTGTCTTCTTTACTCCACTGTTTATTTACCTCAGGGAAGCATCCTTAGAACGGGCATCTACGGATACATAGCTCCCAACAATACATTCTAAATCCGTATCTATTTGGTGTCTAAAGCCCAATGTATTCAGCATGACTCACTCTCTTCTTCCCAAAGCTGAGTGATTGTGACTTGCATTCTTTTGGAAATTTCCCCCACACGCCCCAGGACTGCAGATGAGTGAGTGGCCTGCACGGGAAGGGGTCGGGGAGCTGGGTATCGGATCTTAGCCATAACCCCTGTGGGACGTTACCTTATTAGATACTCGTCCACTAACTTCCTGGCAGTTGAGTGGTATTTTTTGCTATTCCACTTTCATCTCGTTTTGCAGGTTTACCAGATCTACGCAAAGAGGTCTCCAGAGGATGTGCACGCCCTCCTGAGGTCCTTCGGCGCTGACTATGTCATCCTGGAAGACAGCATCTGCTACGAGCGAAGACACCAGCGGGGCTGCCGGCTGCGGGACCTGCTGGACATTGCCAATGGGCACGTAAGCGCGCCCCCTCGCCCCGTGCGGGGCTCCTGGAGTGTTGGGGGGGGGGGTCCAGTCTCACTCTCTGTACGTTAGAGAATGATGTTGGGAATCAGTTCACCATCTTCACAGCATCCCACACAATTCCCGGCTCTGGCACATCAGTGACAGCCGTGCGGGCCGGGCAAGGGGACAGATAGGGGGGGTTCAGACCCCGACTTCACATTAAATAGAACAACTCTGTCTTTAGCTGATTTGTATCATGAGGCTATGTATAAAACTCATTTTTAAAGGTTTTGCCGTTAAAAGCAGAACCTCAGCCTCTTAACACCACTGCCCCAGAGCATTGTTTTGGCTGGCACGTGAGTATGACCGTGACGGCAGGGCCCCCATCTCCCCTTCCAGGCACCACTCCCGCCAGCGTCCCCTTTGCCCACTGGCACCATGCCACCAAGATGGCTTTCTGCGGCCAAGTCTTCCAGAGCAGAAGAACAAGCTATTGCTCCCTCCAGCCTTCTGAGAAAAATGTTCTCGGACCTATGCCAGGCCTCAGATTAGCACAAGCAGAAGCTTTTCACCCTGTAGAGGTGCTGTAATTATTTGGTATAAAAGCTGATAGATATTTAAGAAACAAGTGGGGGGAGAAAAACTTGACTGTGCAGATTTTGAGATTCAGGACACTTAAGTCTCCTCTCAGCAAATCTCAAGTCTGTGGTATTATTGACTGTTCTCCCCATGCTGTACAGTCGGGCCTCAGAACTCATTCACCTTGTAACTGCAGGTTTGTTCCTTTAAGGAACATGGGTTTGTTTTTTTTTTTAAACGTTTATTTATTTTTGAGACAGAGAGAGACAGAGCATGAACGGGGGAGGGTCAGAGAGAGAGGGAGACACAGAATATGAAACAGGCTCCAGGCTCTGAGCTGTCAGCACAGAGCCCAACGCGGGGCTCGAACTCATGACCCATGAGATCATGACCTGAGCCGAAGTCGGACGCTTAACTGACTGAGCCACCCAGGCGCCCCGGAACATGGATGTTTTAATTGGCTTGATGGTGGTGATCATTTGACCATGTCCATGTGAATCAGATCATCATAAATATATACAGTTTTGTCTGTCAGCTATGCCTCAGTAAAGCTTGGCGGGGGGTGGCGGGGACAAACATGAGCTTCAGTTTTTGCTGGAGGAAAGTAACTGTCCCTAACCATCTTGAATTCACAGGAGGTAAAGACCAAAGATGCGCATTTAAATCTTGATTTGTGTGTAACTTTTTCTAACGAGGCCACCTACTGAGTTGGAGGATTTCCTCTGGTCATAGTCATTCTTCTCAGTATTTTATTCTTGTGAGAGCCACAGCGTGTTACATTCCTAAGAACAAGGGGACCCAAGTTCTGCTTCTGGCTTGTGCCATTAGAGGGGATGATCGAGTGGCAGAACTCCCCTCTCCAGCTGTGGTTTACACCTCTGCAGGGGAAAGAGGTGGGCCAGATCGTCTTTAAGCAGCCACTGACATTGAAATTGGACGATTTACGCTCACCTAACGTCCCAGTCTCAGAGGAGCCCGTCACCTGTTCCTTCTTCTCTTGTAAATGTAATTATTTTTTTCCCAAATTGTATTCGGTTTTGTTTTGGCTTTAGATGATGGATGGCCCAGGAGAGAACGATCCTGATTTGAAACTCGCAGGCCACCCTCGCTTCTGCGAAGAGATAAAGAGAAACCTGCCGCCCTACACGGCATACTTCACCAGAGTGTTCCAGAACAAAACGTTCCATGTTTACAAGCTCTCTAGAAACAAGTAGCCGAGCTCTTCGGTCAATCTCTATTTTTGATACGTGAAACTCCATCCTAATGAAACTCAACAGGTAACATTTCATCTGTCGTTAGGTAGCCTGTACCACAAAGCTGTGATATAAGTAAGTTGTAGGGATGTTTACACAAGCGTTACCGTCCTGGGAAGTATCTCACACAAGCTTCAGTCTTTTTTATCTTGTTTCATTAATGTTCTGTAGCCTAAACATTCTCCACTTTCTAAGAGTGGTCTGGAAGTTTTGCTGGTGGGGGAGAACAGGAAGTGTTCCACAGGAGCCTGGACAGACACCCCTCTTGTTGGAAATCAAGAGGCTCTTCAGGATTTGACTGAGCTGATTGACTTCAGACAGCTACGGTTGAATTGAATCAAGGGGATGCATAACGCAATTCTTTAATGTTGTTTCCCTAGCAAAGAACACCTGGTGGTTTTTTAAAAGCCCTTGATCGCCCTGTTTCACCTAAAAACTTTTATAATGTTTTCCGACTGTCATGCTTTTAATATTTTTTTTTTAATCACGTTAGGTCTTTGTATATATACCTAAAACCTTGTGTTGTGCCGTGTCTGAAATGTAATGTTTCGCACTTCAGCATATGCATCCTGTCTGTGTGTGTCTGTCTGTGTCTGTATGCGCATGTGGGTGCATGTTTTAATGCCGGATACAGAAAAGTGTGGCAAATTCCTTATTGTAAGTCCTTAAAGGAGCAAAAATGTTACGTAGCCAAGCAGAATTTGTTACTGTTTAGTGTTATTTTAAAACCTATTGATACTACTTAACCTATCCTGCAAGTAAGAAAATTTTTCTTCATTTCTTACTCATTTAAATTTACTGGGTTTGCAAAATTTTGTAAACTTTTTGTTTTTAGCCTTTGTATTTTTTACAGCCTAGAACCTTGCAAAGTCTGAATATTTTTAAAAGGTTATATCTTAACTAATTCACTAATACAATATTTTTGGCAGAGAGCATTTTCATACCAAATTTGATTTGTGGTCTCCAATCTTGCTGTGAGGGCCCAGGTAGTGTGATTCTTTTTCTTACTCAAAGGTAACCAAGTGCCTCTAAGTCATGCTTATTTGTAAACAACAAAGAGATTATGTATACCTGTTCAAAAATTTTTTGATAATTGCTTTTATAATTAATTTCTAATGATGGGGACATGTAAAAGTTGCTGATAAAAGCATATTGCGTGTTTAATTAAATCAAGATGGCTAATGAAATTAACGTTCTCCCCTGTACTTGCCAGTTGGAAATGATTTAAAGGTTTCTCCTTGCAGTTGTATTGAAGTAAATTACCCTCGGCATCAAGATAGATCTATCGCATGTTTAAATGATGTTCTATTCAGTTACTATTATTAAACAGTATTCAAAAAGAAATTTTACACTGTCATGTTGGACTCAAGGATACTCAGCTTTTTTAATCAAAACTTATTTAAATAAAAAAAATGACACTGGCTGGGTTACTAAATTATGCAGCTGAAACTCCTGAATTATGTCTTTCCTGTATCCCTTAATAAGGTTGGAGACCACTGCAGTTTAGGATAATACAATAATAAAACACTTTAATCAGTACTAAAACTTTAATTAAGCCAGTAATGATGCATGCCCGGTGTGGCTGACAGCATGGGTCAGTACATCCTTCAGCGAGTGCCTTACTCTTAATTGAAACGAAGCACATGTAAGGTACACATTAGACTATGTAGTTTTGTTTTTAAAGTCCTCTGTTACCTTCAAGATATGTTTCAGTTTTATTTTAAATGTTTCTATATGCGTTCATCTAAGCATTTGGGTATGTGCAGTTTCAGTATAAGAAACATGTACTTCAATTTTTATGCTTCTCCTCACCGCCATGATGGCACACAGTAATCTTTTCCTCACAGTCTACATGCCATTGTTGCCAAAACATAGCGTTCAGTCTTCTGTGAAAAAAATAAAGTGCCAAAAAAAAAAAAAAAGGTCTTGCAAGACAGAATCCATACATATGCTCTTTCCAAGACACTGTGACCTTGTAGAGTTGACATTTTTATGTCCTGATGACCAAATTTGCCAACAAATCATGTTAAATCTTCTTAGTGCTCATCAGTTGTCTCTTTTATGACCTTCTCGTTGGAGTCCACGGGAGGAAAGAGGAAAAGTGACTGACTCCTGGCTCTCCACCAGGCCAAAGTACGTCACCTGGGGCCGTCCTCGCTCCCCGCCATGTAGATCTCAGTGGCTCTGTTAATATTTGGTAATAGCCTCATACTGTGGCTGGTTTTCATGGGTAGAATAACCACTTGATCTTGCTTCGGAGTTAGCATTCGAAAGAACGTCTACGTACAATAAGTGCTCTTAATCATCCTCTACTTAACGTGACTCACCGGACTCCCCGACGGACTCCATCCCTCCTGTAAGCTGACTGCCCAGGCTGCTGCCCAGTGTCCGCCCACGGCATGTGCTCCGTCCCGTGAGCTCTGTGCCCGTACGCAGCTTCTCTGCAAGTTCTACTTCCTACTGTGAGTACACAGTTCAACACAAACCTAGGAGATACGGGTGTGGAAAAGAAAGGGTTATTTCTGTGCAATTTAACTTGAATGCTTTGGTAAGATTTGATAAAGGTTGAGTTGCTAGTCAAAATTGCTTTTAAATACATTAGGCGTGGTTGGAAAAATTATAAAATATTGGGAAAACGTAAAATTCAGGGACATTTCTAAGCTTAGATTGCTTTATCGATTTAGGTACTTATTCCACCTTTAAAAATATCTAGACTGATCAGAAGGTGTTAAAATGTACCCAAATCATATTATTGGTGTGATTTATTCAAGAATAGAACTGCAGTCATTGAACCCCTATTGCCAAGGAAAGGCCTTGGCTTCCCAGCAGAAGGTTAGTAAATGAGTGGACAGTTACACATTTAAAATGATGATTCCCTGCATAAATCTACTTACTTCGTTAAATGATCCTGATCACAGTGGCTAACAGAGATTCTACTATAGTTGAAAGGTTACAGTCACTTTTATTACAGACTTAAAAAATAGGGATTAATTTCAGATATATTAGCCAGAAGCATAATTAGGTGTTTATCTAGGCCATTTGTTGTCCACTTAAAGATGATTTTCTTGAACTTTGTGAGGTCAACCAGATGTGCGTGTGTGCGTGTGTGTGTTTGGGGCAGGTGCCGCCAGATGGCAAAGACATGCGTAGTATTTCATCCAGTCTGCATCTTTACTTCATGATTAACTAAAAATGTTTATTCTGATTCCATATGAACTTAGTTTAAGATGTACCAGTTTTAGCTCATCTTTGGCCAAAACCTCCCTGAGTTAACATAGAAATATTCCATTTTTTAAAATTTCATTCAAACCTTGGGATTGTTAGGAAGATATTAAAATGTTCTCAGATCACGTATGTTGGTTAGTATGCTCCCAAAGGCTTTATATATGACAACCTTTTGGCCTAGAAGAGAGTGCTTATCTGCTGATGGAAAAAAGCTTTTAAGATGAGAGTGGCTTGCTGTGTTGTGGCAATTGATTTTCTGTATTTAACATCCTAAGGGTAAAATCTTACAAAGAGCCTTTATAATTTGTTGTACTGAGTTGTACGGAGATTATATACTAAATAAAGCTCTTTTAAAATACACAAGATGAGTGTTTTTCCTTTCTTCGAAGGTCAGAAACCAAGGAACCAGCTTATTGAAGTGTATTAAATATATGCTAAATGGAGTCTAGTCACTGGAGGGATGTGGCAAGGTCTCGACTGGACTTGCTAATGTGGAAGGAGTTTATTTTTTCATGGAATTTGGTTTCATAGCTGCTTACTTGTTTTACTTGAACCTCAGGATTATAGTTTAGATTTCTAAAGAGAAGGCTGCTGTCAGCAGAATTTATCCTCAAAGAGATAAATGCTGTTTTCATTTTTGAATCACGTGTACTTCTTGATTAAATTGTCAATCTTTAGTAATTCGGGAAGATTGGTGGTAGTCCATTTTGGTCAGAGTTTATAGATAACAAATGTGCTTGACTGTTACATTGTCCAGAGCAGATGCTGAAATTCCAAACAGAAATAGGCCAGTACACTTCCGAATAGAAGAAACTGTCAGTGGGGCCTCAAATACGCTGTGCTGTTAGAAAGCTCTTAAGCTCTTAAGCTATTGAGTACACCCCGTGGGAATGGCCTCTAGCACCGGAAGCGCTACAAACGGGTATAGATAAGTGAGAGACTCAGGATCCGAGTGAACAGAACAAGTGTGATGTTCTGGCACGTGACACCAGGCACGCAGCAGTCGAAATGCTGTTTCTCGTGCCTCTTCTTTCAAAAGCGGTATCTGAAACTCATCTCAAACCTTTTCATCTGATTTAATACTTAGCCATTTGCTTTATAGGATTGTCTTTCAAAGTGCAGATAGTAAACTATAGTGTAATGTGGAATCAGCTTAGTGGGTTGCAACCAGCATCAGAAGATTGAGAGAAAGAAAAGCAAGGGAGAGGAGAAGGGGAAGGCACAGTCCCTGTGGGAAGTGTAAGGATTGCTTTGTGAAGTAGTTTGGTTTTTGAATTTTCTTAATGTTTATATATTTTTGAGAGAGAGACAAAGTGCGAGCGGGGGAGGAGCAGAGAG